ATTTCAATTCCTAAATCTCCCAGTGCTTTGATTTCCTTCAGTGAGATGTTGTCTGGCCCGGGTGCTTTTCATTTCTTCATATGATGTATTGCATCCTTAACTTCTGCAGTCATTATTAGTGGACCATCATTGTTGGTCTGCAGTTCTAAATCTGTTCTATTATTATCATACAATTCCCCTATATACTCTGTCCATCTGGTAATTATATTACTATGTCCCATTAATAAGTCACTATCTTTTGATTTCAAACATCCAGTGCTGTTACGTGTCATCTTTCCTGTTCACATATTTATCTTTTGGTACCCGGAATGTGAGTCTTTCCTGTTGTTTTCCCCAATCTCTGTACACATTTGATTCAGTCAGTCTTCTTTAACCACTTTGCATTTGTTCACTTTTTCTTTTTGTATTCTAGAGTATTCTTCTTTATCATTCTTTTTCTTCCTTCTTTCATCCATCAACTGCAGAATTTCGGTTGACATCTATTTCTTTTTTGCAACTCTATGGGTTGGTGGGATTGTCTCTTTAGATGTCTGCTGAATTGACTCACACAACATATCCCCCTGTTCATCAATAGTCTGTATAATTTCCATTGCATTATACCGGTTTTGTACAGTGACATTGTACTGGTCCTTAATTTCTTTATCCGTTCTAAGAATTCCTAAATTTAACTTGATGTTCTGTGGTGTTTTCTAAGGTTCTTTAGTTTTATTCTAATGTTTCCTACAACTGGAACATGGTCACTAAAGCAGTCTGCTCCTGGTCTAGTTTTTGCTCCAACTAAGCTGCTCCTGAATCTTCTTGAAATCAAAATATAATCAGTCTGATTGCGGACATTATCACCAGGACTTTTCCAAGTCCACAATCTTCGAGGATGGTGTTTAAACTAGGTGTTACCTATTATCATGCTGCGTGACTCAGCCCATGGTATTAATCTGTCACCTCTCACATTCTTTTCTCCTAGGCCACAGCCACCCGTTATTTCGTAACTTTTTCACTTCCTATTTTCGCGTTAAAATCTCCAAGTATCATCTCCAAGTACCATTGTTACTTCACAATTTCTGCATTGTTACTTATATAGTATATAAAAGCCCAACACAGACATCTGAGCTAGAACTATGTGGATACATGAATGGGTGGTAAAAAGGGTATTGTATTGTGTTTGGTGAATGCTAGCTCTGGTTTTCCTCTTTGTCACAGGATGTTAGTAATATCTAGAGGCTAAGTCGACAGTCACTATTCTAGCACTATCCAGTGTAACCCCCATCCAGCTTTCAGGAAAAGGGATCCTAAGTAAACAACTTATTCCTGCCCATGAACCATGACAGTGGCTCCATAGGCGACAAGTGACTTGTATAAGTAAACATGAAAAGATCCCTTTTCACGCCTTAGGCGCTTCGGGTATTTGAGCAGAGCGTCTCAAGTTTTTACAGAACAATCGGCACTGGATGGGTAATGTGGTCGTCTTTACTTTCCCAGGACATCAGCTTGTATATTCAACCTAAACGACTTTTATGTGGGGGGTTTAAAAAAAAACGAGCACGACCAGAGGGAGGCATGCATCCTAGCGTTTAACGTTAAATTAACACGGACCCCTCTTCCGTGGAATACCATTGAACTTTTGCCATTACTGGTATGTTATTTATGAAGACTCATTTCGGTAAATTTTTGTGAATGCTGAATCATAATATTAAAGAGGATGTTCACAAGATTTCATACCTACACTGCCAGATGTAGGAGGAGGTCATTTTATATTCTGTGGTTAGTGTCTATCCTTCATAGTTCTTAAGTTGTCTGGAGTATCTGTTGTTGTGTTATACTTCATGTTACACAGTGTTAATTTGACTGATTACTATCAAGTCTAGGGGCTTAAATGTAGTGAGGAAGTCAGCCCAAGTTGCGCCTAGGAATGTTTTTTGATACTGTAGTGCCATAATTTGAGTCGGCTCACTCCCAAAGAAGGTTGGATGTTCATTGCAGCTACGGGAGGCCGTCTAGATCATTGCGAGCCAGCATCTCAACACTAAAAATACTTTAGAGTGCCCTTTGGTTCATTAAGGGAAACCATAACAAAGGCTCCTAACACCAACATTATGTGACATATACAATAAATACTGTAATGCCCTACAGTGTGCCTGTCAGACGGACCACAAACACATGGGCACATTCTGCAGACCTGCCCACTTTACATGCAACTTGTAAATTAATGATAATATCAAACATGCATTTATTTTATTGGGATTATAATATTAAAACACAATGTGGCACAGTACGAAATGGCTATAAACATGTTATTTCAATAATCATTTGCGACATTTCATAAAATTTAATTTTAATTGAATTTATGTCGGCACATGAGGGAAAGCCAGTTTAAAAGATGCTTTCTCATTCACATTTTACAAACTCGCCCTTCCAAAGTTGTTTTGAACACATTGTTTGTTATCTTCTTATTTTTATGCTCAGATCAGACCATTAGGTCGGCTGCTTTTATGAACTCAGCTGCATTCACTTAATGGTTCCCCATATTTTGCTCTGCACACTTTGTTCTTGGGGCCAGGGTTTGTTGAGAAGTTGTAGGTAGAGTGGACAGATCTGCAGAATGTGCTCAGGTGTTTGTGGTCCTGTCTGACAGGCACACTGTGGAGACTGCACAGTATTTTTTTTAACTGTATGTGGTAGTTAAGCGCCATTATCCTGTTCGTAGACGGAAAAAATGTTGTTTTCTGCTTTCTCCTAAATCTGCTGATGGTTTCTTATGGATGTCTGCTGTTGGTTTGTTCTCTCCGCAATTCCTTGTATTTTCCATTGATGGGTGTTTTGATTTCTGGCAATGACAGTAATTGGTATATTGTTTCTCATTTGTTCCATTTTTACAAGACTGTCTGCTAATTCATGTCCTGGTATGTCGCAGTGAGTATGGATCCACTGGAGAACGATTGTTTTCTGAGAGTCTGTTTACTGGCGGGTCTGTTCTCTCTCCATGTTTTCTCGTGGATCCCGCTGATTTGCCTGGAGGACAGACATGCAGTCACAAAAGAAAACAATTTTTCTGCTTTTAATTTGTTCTTTCCACAGGCACTTCGGCTGCATCAACATATGCTTGCTGCTCTGCTCTGAAGTTTGTTGAGAGTCTTCTGGAGGCACATGCTGTTTCTACTGTGGTTCCATTTTGCAGCATGATGACCGATCCTGCAAATCCGTTTTTGTTTTTGCTCCCTCCATTCATCCATCAGTGTAAGCATGTGTCCATTCGGGTTTTGCGTCAGATTATAGATTTGTTCAAGGGTCTTTGCTTGCAGCACCTGTCACATTATTAAGCCTTTCCGGCTATGCTTTGAATTGTTGTTATGAGTATATAGTTAGGCTGTAGGTCTATTCTGTATGCTCGGATTATCTCCCACGTTAAAGAGTCTTTAGAAGGGATGTCGCTGATTTTGGCGTAGTACAATTTTCATCTCCTTGTGAGAAGCAATTTTTCTCTATTTAAAACCCCACGCTGGCTCTTGCAAGGGGCCGCAATATACCCCGAGCATAAATATGGTCTAATGGCTGAACGCGGTTTCTTAAACCTCTCCACGATGATCCTCATCCATATGGTGGAACTCTGTGTCATCGTGTGTTTATGGCTTGTCTGATGTCCTGGTGGGGTAAAAGTCTACTACTACTACTACTACTACTACTACTACTACTACTACTAATAATAATAATAATAATAATAATAATACAATTTTTATAGATCATGAACGCGTTGCCTTTACAGTCGGTTTTTAGTTAGGCTGTTTGCTGTTCTGTGCATGTTAATATTATTCATGCATTTTACTTTTTCTCGTTTGCTGCTTGTTTACTAGTGAAAAGTTTTTCATCATCTTCAGTGACAGTGTTGGCATGCCTGGTTTGATTCTCCTCATTTAGACTCTTTACTAGATGCCATAACTTGTATCATTTTCCCCTTGTTGAGAGCTGCTGTCTTTTCCTGTCATCTTGTCTTGATGCTTGCGTTTTTCTCTTCTATAAATAGCCTGATGTTCAAAGTGTTATGTTACGCTGAGGTCAGAAGGATCTTATTCCATTTTTACTCTCCCTTCTGTGCTTCTTAGGTGCAGCTGTTACAGTTCTTAGGCCCAGAAGCGTTCATAGTTTTTACAGAGAACTCGGTGGATTATTTTGTATGCTGCTTTGATTGAGATACTGGAAAGGAGAGTGGTGCTTTTCTAACCTTATTGGTTAGAAAGGGCTCCGATAGCTTCTTTTCTGTTAAATGAATACCAGCTAACACTTACCTTAACCCTAACCACCCTATATTATAGGACTATCCGGAGGTCCCAAGGAATTCCCTACGAAATCTCGAACACTCGAGATGAAGTGAAAAAGAGAAAAAGAACCAGTTATGTTAGAAAGGGTTAGTATTTTGCAGTAATCTAGACTGATGAAATGTCTGCCGATTTTGTTACAACATTTTGCCATGCCATAAAGTAGTACATTTACCCCAGTTGTACGCTTGGAGTTTATACATGCGGTATATTTACTCATGTGGTACACAGTGTGTTCGAAACACGCAGTATAGTTACACGCGGGGTACACAGAGTTAAATCATGCAGTATATTTACACATGAGGCATACAGAGATTAAAAGCATGCAGTATATTAACTCATGTTGTACTCATGAAGTTTAAACATGCAGTATATTTAGCACTGCGTTTCCCAGAGAGATTAAGCATACAGCATACAGAATCCATGTGATAGACGGAGAGGTAAAACATGCAGTATATGTATATCAAGGACACACACACAGAGTTAAAACATGATGTGAGACACAGTACTAAAACATGCAGTATATTTACCTCTATAACACACAAAGTGCTAAATCATGGAATATATTTACAGCTGTGATTTATAGAGTGCTTAAAACATGTACTATATTTTCCTCAGTGATACAAAGAGTGCAAAAACATGCAGCTTTTTAAAAAAAATTGTACACAGTGTTAAAACATGCAGTATATTTACCACCGCTGACATAGACCGAGCACAGACTGGTAACGGCTGCACCTTTTAGGGTCACTGTGTCGATCTCTTCGGCGAAGTTACAGTGCACGTCCACGGTTTTGGTGTCCACAGCTACTTGCTTCAAGTCGCTACAGTTGACTTTGGTTGTGCTTCTGGAGAACGTCACTGTCATATCCGCATTGGCAGCTGATCCCAGAGGATTTTTGTCAGTCAATAATTTACTTCAAATATTTAAAACATGAAGATAAACGGATTCATTCACACATTAAACATGTACATCACAACTGTATGCTACCAATGCCAGGCTTTGTCCCTAGAGACTGTTCAGAACCACCACTTGATATGCACCTAAATGAGATGTTTGTGAAAGACCAGTGGAGAGCCCAGAAGGTATACAATTATAAATGAGTTCATAAGAGACAAATTCTGCATTAAAGATTGGTGAACAGATAAACCTGATAAACCAAAGGATTAAACAAAATGTTTTCGTTTTTTCCCCCCGAAGAGAACGAATGACTTTAAGTCAATACATATTTGACCTGTAATTATAACAGACACTCTCACCACGAACCCAACCCATCGAACACAACCCCCCCTCCCCCCCCCCCCCCCCCCCCCGTACCACTTTTTCTTTGTTTCACAAAAAAAAAAAAATTGGAATGGGAGACGGGAGGTATTACAAAAACGATCACTGCCTACCCCAAACTTTAACACAGACTCTGAGCCAGGTGAAGAAAATAGACTCAAACGAGATGGTCACCGTGTCAGGGCCTGAAGGATCAGCACATGTATTTTCGTTGCCATCTGTCAGAACTGAGTGGGTACTTTTGTCGGTCATGTCGGCTGTGAAGAAACAAGTCGTGTATAATTTAATAAGGCTATTTTTAATTATCATTATGTTTTAAAACCAGTACATTGAACGGAGTTATTATCAATATTCCTACGTATTTTTCCCCAAAGCCGCTACACACCTGCAAGGTGAACTTCAAAGCTCCAGCGACAGCCTCTGTGAACTTCAATCTTCTTTTTCTTATTCTTCTTTTTTTTTTTTTTCTTCTTCTTCTTCTTCTTCTTCTTCTTCTTCTTCTTCTTCTTCTTCTTCTTCTTCTTCTTCTTCTTCTTCTTCTTCTTCTTCTTCTTCTTCTTCTTCTTCTTCTTCCTCACTTCATCTTTTACCTCTGCGGGTTTCGATTACGATACAAAGTTCTGCTTCCTACTTTTCTGAACTCCTCGACCATAGACACAACGTACTACTGTAACGTTTATTTGATGGTTTGGTCTGCCTCCTGCTCTAAGATTCTCCTCTATTGGTGTATGCCTCTTGTGGTATGGCGTCACGAGGCCTTCTATCAAAGCAGTTAAACTTCCAGTATGGCCTCATTTATGTTGTTATCTCTCCTGGTTACGCCTGAAGCCCTTCACATAGTGTCATTCCTGGGTTGAAAACATGAATAGCTCTAAACTGATTCCCGTACAGAGGGCGAGGCCAACCGATTGACCAATTGGTAACGGAGCTAAAAAATGAACCCTCTAAAGAAAATATTAAATGTCATTTATGAAGAAAACGCTAGCAGTACATGTAAATGGCTGTTTGGCCAAAAAAAAAAAAAACACTTAGCAAATAGATGTACATCTTAAACTGCTTACATAAGGTAGGCCCTGTGGCGACTCGACGCTGTTAATAGTGGGGTGCTGATTGACATTTCTATTCAGTGTTAATATTGCAAAACCAAAAGGGAACGAAAATATGATCATAAAATTGAATAAATATTCCCCCTCCCCTCAAAAAGACAAACAAAAATATATAAACTTGTTAAATAACTTCTAGATTAAACTGTTACATTTCAAGATTGATGCATTTAATTAAAATCTAGAACCATTCTTCTTGATTTAATTTTCGCGTCGTCACTGCGTTTGCTGGACTGAAGGAATAATAGTCAAAATCCCCCAAAAAGGAGACATAACAGACTGCAATAATTGGGGGGGGGGGGGGGGGGAATTACTCTACTCTCAGTACCAAGCAAAATATTTTGTAAAATCATCATAATTCGGCTTGAAAAAGGAGTAGATACATGCCTACGAGTGGAACAAGCAGGATTCAGAAAGGGCAGAGGAACAACTGAGCACATCTTCGCCATAGTAACATTTTAGAACAATGCAACGAATGGCAGAGAAGTATATATATTATAATTTTGTGGACTTTGAGAAAGCTTTTGACAGCGTCCATAGAGACGGTCTGTGGAAAATGTTACGACATTATGAAATTCCAGAAAAAAATTGACAACATAATTGCTCTCTTCTATAAAGACTTTTCCTGCAGTATAAAAAATTACAATACATCTTTCCCAGTAAATATGGGGGTAAGACAGGTATGTGTTATGTCAGGAAGACATACAGTCACGTCTGAACAAAGCTAGAGCTGCTTTTGGAAGGATGAGGCAAATCTGGAAATCCAACAATTACTGCAGAGGAACGAAACTTCGACTCTACAAGAGCATCCTTTTGCCAGTTCTTCTTTATGGAGCGGAATGCTGGAGAATGACCAAAAAGGATGCACACAAGCTTTCCACCTTCCACCACACATGTCAACGTAGAATTATCAATATTTTCTGGCCAGATACAATCTCAAACACTAAACTACTTCAAGCCACAAACCAAGAAACTTTAGACAGTATGATCACCAAGAGACGATGGAAATGACTTGGCCACGTTATGAGAATGACTTCTGATATACCTGCCAAAACAGCTCTCACATGGACACCAGAGGGAAAGAGAAAACAGGGGCGCCCCAAAAACAACATGAAGACGAACGATGGAAAGTGACCTGAGTGCAGCATCTTGCATGGAAAACTGCACTAAAGATTGCACAGGACAAGAAAGCATGGAAAGTCCTCTCTGAAGCCTCATGTGCCACTGGGTAACGAGAACTGATGATGACGATGACACCACGTTTGCGATTGTTTCCCGTTTCTGCCATATGTGCAGCTTCGTATCTAGGACGTGTGCGCACGCGTAAAGGAAAAAAAAAAACACTTACAGGAAAACATACAGTTTCATACACGGATTTTAGAACGTTTGATGCACTAAAAGATAGCTACCAAAATTAGGCTTAATTACAATTAAGTGTACAGGGGGAAAAAAGAGTAGAATGTCTTACACCCACACACACATACAAAAATACACACGCACACACATAAGCAAAAAAAACAAAAAACAAAAAAAAAACATTATATTAAATTGTGAGGATTATTTCCGGTGGGTAGTAAAGTACGTAGTTGTACCCCACCAGGACATCACACAAGCGATAAACACCCGGTGACATAACGTGCCACCATGGGGATGAGGATCATCTGTGGAGAGGTCTCAGAAACCCATTGTAGCCGTTAGGCCATATCTAAGTGTGACAATACGCGCGGTGACTTCAGAATGTCTTTCCTCAACCTACTTTTATTTGTGTGTATTTTGAAGTATACAGACAAATAGGGATTTGGATACATCCTTAATCTAAATAGGATGACCACATCACACCTTTAATTCTCCTGGACCGTTGGTCATATCAAACACTACAACTTTTTCCCAGATGTTAAGTGTTAAGGTACAGAGATAAGACTGACCAAGCAGACTTACTGACTGGAGATTTGCACACCATCTGTTGGTGTCAGATAGTTATTCCCCCTGCCAGATCTTCAGGAACAGATAACAAGGGCTAATTGCCATTATCTCCCCCTGAGGTTACCTAACTCGACGGCAGGTCCGACGGTCACTATTGACACAGTGAGCGGAAAGTGTTGGCAGAAGAATTGACAAAGTCGGATTTTATTGTAATGACAGGTGAAGTAGACTAGAGGTGTGACTTGTCTTATTTGCTCTGGTCAGATGAATTGAACCAGGAGATCCTAGCGTGGGAATTCAAACAATAGTTGTACAGCCCTGACTGACAGCGAATAAACTTACCCACAAGGGAGGAGCTGTGATATCCGTGAATGAGAATGATTTTAGGCGTAATGTAGGAGGAGCTTGATAAAAGTTATAAAGGGGTGAACTATAGGTCTGGTAAATGAGACGCTGTCCAGCACATGCCATCTGTTGGGCTTAACCTAAGCTTGAGACAGAACTTTTGGCATTGTGGTTTCATTTTTCCAGGTAAGATCGAAATTAGGTTCAAATCTATATTTTATGATAGAGTTCTAACTGTCTTTTTACTCAAGTGTGTGTCTTCATCACTTTGTAGTACTCCTAGGCGGACATTTCTTCATTCTCGTAGGGCACTGTCACATTGCTTTATTTCCTATTTGATAGTGTCATGAATGTTTTTCGTGCACATGTGTTTCAATGTTGTAAAACCTAAATGTTGTTGTTTCCATTGAAATGTAATGAACTATCATGTTTTTGAAATCACAAGCGTGAAGATAACTTTGGCAATCTTTTCACGTGTGGTTAATGTGAATCTGTATTACATACAGCTAACACACTGAAATGTGTTTAACTCTCGGGAGGCTAATGCGGAGATTGATCCCGGAGAGTAAATCCTTGAGATTTGGTATTTGATTCGCCTCAGAAATATTGTTAGCTTTCTGGGCGCGTCGATTGTTCCAAGCATAGATTCGAGAACTGGTTCTGTCTGACTGATTGTCATTTTGAGTCTGTACGAGAGATGGCACCTGACGTAGAAGACTTGACTATCATTACAGGACGTGTAGAGGAAGGCAAAGATGTAACAGTTAATGTGAGACATAAGCCCTTCCAAATTGGACAGGAGTGAATGTGAGCATGAGGGAGAGATGAAATGTTTTATTTAAATAAACATGCTTGATGTTAGTATAATATACTTGTTTAGTGTACATCTAGAGCAGATACTACAAATATGCGCTTGTTTCTTCATTCTCCAGTTCCCACATTGGGCAACTAGTAGGCATCCATTATTTGCCGACCGTCGAGTGTAACGACCTGCAGACTTGGAAAAGATAGGCTGGGTCTCAAGCCGAGAACTGTCCAAAGGTTGTTACTTTCCAATACCTTTATGAAATCATCATTCACATAACCTAAACTCTACTAGCCTAAACAAGTTCATTTTAATTTCGAATTATTAAATAAATCTTTTTGATGTTGTTACACAGAGTTAAGTAAATTGTGTACTTAGGTTCAAGTGTCT